TATTTAAATTTTATTAAGATATTAAATTTCAAAAAGCTATTTTAATACAAGAATCATGTGTCTAAATCAGTATTTTTATAATCGAATCCGGAACCCCATCAGATCAGCAAGCCGAAGGTAAATCACTACAGTTATTTGGACAGCTACCAAGATTTTACTACAAATTTTTAAAAGTAATAAAATGTATACAAACATCGCTAAACCCGATATATAATATAGCTAAACACCAACCAAATGCCGAAAATCTATCGGGCTAGTTTAAGGCTAATTACTAAATGAATTACATAACTAATTTGGTACTAGAGGTAAGCGTTAGGCGCCATCTCTTATTAAGGCGCCATCTCTAATAAGAGATGGCCCCTAACCCCGATAGATTTTCGGCATTTGGTTGGTGTTTAGTAATAAAATGTTTCTGGTAGATACGAGATCAGTAATTAAGCATTACAACAAAATTTATTTTCGTCTAAATAACTAATTAATGCATTTAAAAAATACTTTGTATGATTAAACTGTTTTCTTTTGTACTTAGGCTAAATAATAAACTCGAAACTGTACTCATTAGATTGGAGATTCCAAAGAATTTTACGTTTGTTTTCCAGGTTGCCGATATCACATGAACTAACATTGACTTAGGGAGGTTTGTGTAGGCCTACTGTATTTCAAAAAATGAATAATTATAAATTTATTGCGTAAATTAAATAAAAGACAACGGTCGTGTGTTTAGAAAATAATTAGAGATATTATTTAATAAGAATTACGATATATCATGAAATCGAGCTTTCGTGATATTTGTGAGAAATTCGGATTACCCGTTATTATCATTAGTCATGTATTAATGTTATTCAATTTAATTAAAAGTCAGATTTCCGTAATAGACAAAATAGATGTGGCATTATACAGTGGGTGATCGGTTAACGAACAAATCGAGTAATGAAAACTTTCGCGAAAGATTTTTATGTTCGGACAACGAACACCTCACAGGACAAACACAAGAAGCGACGTAAAATAAAGAATACCAATTGGTCTTCCCTTGTCTTCAGGCGTAAATTCGAAAATTTTCGGAGAGCGGGAGAAGTAGTCGACGTCAACACTCAACCCGGTATATACGGATCGGATAGTATTCCTCTGAACTTTGAAATTCCAGCCTTTAATTTTTCTGATAGAAACAATTCTTTTATACAAGAATTCACGAGACTGTCGGGCGGGCACTCGTTAAGTTTTGGATCAGCTTTCATTTTCGAAAAGTCAGTGTATAATAGCAAACGTAGAGAGTGGGCAGATGATGTCTGATGTTGCTGGGTAGTATGGCTTCAACAGGTTTACAGTAGGCCGCAGTTTAATCTTATCTAAGATACAGTATAATCAATAAAACTCGAGCAGCTAAAAGAGCAACAAAAATCACATCTGAGAAATAAAGAACATTGAAGAGCTCATAGTCGAACCTAAAACGGATCTGACGACAGAAGAACGCCAAGAACTCTTGAATGAAGAACACCAAGAAACTTGGCGAGATACGTTTTCTTCTGAAAAGAGGATTAATGCCAATATCTGCTATTAAACATATTTTGAAGTGGGAGGATGTCAGAACAACGGTCTGACATTCTCCCACTTCCAAACCATCCAAATGGCATCCAAACCAGGTTAAGTTTAATAGGCTTAGGGATCTCTACAATTACAATGCTATTAATTACTTCTGAAAAATCCTAAAGAAGAGAGAAAAGCAATCGACATTAGACAGATTTTTTAACCCCACAAATGGAAAAATGGAAAAAACATGACTAATAAAAATGCAAGGCTGTGTATATACAGGGTGGTCCAACGAAAACGAAACGGCAGAGTTATCGTATTCGTTCAAGCAAATCGCACGAACAGGTCGATTTTATACTCAAGGGGGATATCTTCAGCAATAAAGTTTTTGGCTATTCTGAATACAATAGACAACAAAAAATTTTATAAACTCATTCATTTTTTTATTAACTAAAAAAACATTTATTTCGGAAAAAAAGTAACACAAACTATTAACAAACATAAAAAAACCTTTTAAACTGGACCGCATATGCAAGGAATGAATAGATCATAAAATTAAGGCTGATAATGTGTTATCTATTTCCAGATGTTCTTTTTTGTAGTGTTCACATTAAGTTTGACCACTTAATGATTGAATCAGGATTTAAGATTATCGTTTGTTTATTATGAATTTTGTACAACATAATCGTTATGGTTGGCAATTGCTGAAAGGGTAGAAATAGTGATTCTTCATTTCAGAAATCGCGAGGATGCTTATCTTACTGCAAATTTATTTAATCAACTCTATCCAACAAATATTGTTATGAAAAATACGTTCTGGAGTTGGTTCAAAAGTTTCAGTTAACGGGTTCTGTGGCTAACAAAAGACACGACCCAGGACGTGAACGTCCAGTAAGAAATGAATCGACAGAGATGTGGTGTTCAATTCGAACATTTATTGAATACTTGATAACTTTTTCTTATGTTTGTTACTTTATTTGAAATAAATGTTTGTTTAGTTAATAAAAAATGAATGATTTTTTAAAATTTTTTGTTGTCTTGTATTCAGCATCGCAAAAACTTTATTGCTGAAGATATCCCCCTTGAGAATAAAATCGACCTGTTCGAGCGATTTGCTTGGACGAACACGATAACTCTGCCGTTTCGTTTTCGTTGGACCACCCTGTATGTATTTTTATTAGCGAGGTTGAGACCGAAGTTTTAAGCGCGAAAACGTGTACATCGGACGTTCAGCGCCGCTTTCCTGTAAGCCTAGAAGTTTGACAATGGTGTTTGGAATGTCGAGCATGATTCCACTGACTATCCAAACACCATTGTCAAACTTCTAGGCTTACAGAAAAGTGGCGCTGAACGTTTGACGTACACATTTTCGTGTTTAAAACTTTGGTCTCAACCTCGCTAATATTACATATAAATAATCGTAGTAAAAAAGTATATATTTTTTATTATTCGGAGTCTCCAGAACGAATTAATCAAATTCCCATAAAAACCTATGATAAATCGATAATCGGTTAACGAACAATTCGGATAGCGAACAAAGTCTTGGAACGGATTATGTTCGTTAACCGATCACCCACTGCAGTGCCAGGGCAGTAATCAGCGGACCGAGTTTGAATCGCTGTCATCTGTGGAGTTTTGTACGGGTAAAGCACAACTCTATGGCGCAATGTCTGCAAAATGACTTTAAGTGTGCCAAGAATGACCTATATATACGTAATCAGCGCAAAAACTACTGTGCAAAAGTAAATTTCTCTGTTTTTGGCCAAAGTATATAGTCTAAATTCCAACTTAGATATTTACTAAGTACAAGCGCTTCGACATGCTTAAAGCAGTATCAGAGCGCTACCCTGTTACGCCATGGCACGATCACAGCGCTGCCTCAGAATGTTCCTATATTTGATCAAATTTTGAAATGTTCTCCAGAATTTGCAGAAACCGAATTTCCAGGTATATGGGCTCACTGGGTTCGTCAGAATTTACTCATATTGTACGTTTCGACAGTTGGATTTTTGAACCTTTCGTTGCCAAGATACAACAGCCTTATTGCAATATTTAATTAATTAAGGTATTGCAAAAGAATAGTGATGCTAACTGTTGCATGACTTAATAGTTCTCGCGGTATTTGCAAGTGAAGCAAGACCCTATTGCTTTTTTGTTGCTAATTGCAAAGAGATTGCCGTAACAGTTCAAGTTTCAGGATATCACTAAATGTAGGTCTGCACCTATGTAGATTTCTTCAACCAGACAGAGTCATTTTACATTCTTAATCTTTTATTCTTTTAAAATTTTCAAAGTTTTAAAGTAATATTATTGCCGCTAACACAGATAAAACTAAATACTGTAGACCCCCTATGACACTGTTGATAATTCCGTGTTATATAAATTCCATGTTGTACGAGTCACTTATATTTTACAAATACGTGTGCCGGGTTGTGAACGGCTCACATCCATATGAAATGGATATTAGTGCATATACTAAAGTACAGGTACTTTAACCCAATGTCTTATGATTCTATTACCAAAATAGTCTTATTTTAATATTGAATAACACAGTTAAAAAGCGGCACGATTCTGTTGAAAAATTCACCCATTAAAAAAAAGTTGTTTCAGGTCCCTAGGACTTATATGCTCTGAAGCTTAAACTTCATTAATTTCTTAGTAGATCCGCCACTGGATACATTTCAATAATCTGAAAATGATTTTGAAATATTGTAATTTTCTTATAAATAGCATTGTCTATAACTTTAAAAATCTCAAGTATTCAATGCGCTGTTTATTTAAAAATGCTTACTATTACAGATCGACTATTATTTTTATACTTTGGTAATTGAATGCAATTATTATTTGAGGGCGACTATTAAAGAAATAAATCCTTTAACTTTATTATTACTTGAACACTCAGCACATTTACAGTTTATTCTAGTATAGTGTAAGAAGGGTCGGATCTAAGTTTTTCGGAGCCTAAAGCTTATTGAAGTCCAATGGGACCCCATCTGTTGTTAGATTCAGAGTCCTTAAACTGGTTTAAAATTCATTTTTATTAACATCAAAATCAGAGTTGAAATATGTTTATTTATGAAATGGTGTTAAATGACAAACTTCACGTCGTATATAAGAAATAAAAATATATTATTAACAAAAATGTATAAATAAACAAAATTTTTAAACAAAATAAAATAAATTAACATTATTAATATTAACTATTTTTTACTGAACGATAGGTGAAAAAGTATTAAAAATTTATGATAATAATTCAATTTTTGTGGGCCCATGACACTTGGTGACCCCTATTAGTCCCTATGTAGATACGCCGCAGATTGTAAGAGTAACAACACTAAATAGAATGTGCAATTTTTCTCTAAAATAAGCCTATCTTCCTCCGTAAACAGCGTGCTTTCTGTTAGAGGGAGCTGTATATAATTTCGTTTATTATGCGGTTGCGCTGTTAATTAGAACAAATGCGGTGTATATAAAACGCAAACACCCAAAACATTTTATTTTATATTTTATCTTCTCTTGAGCTTCTGAATTCATTTGCTATAGCCAATAATTTTCCTACGCATAAAATGAAAATCGGTGCTTTGTTGGTCATTTTATTTATAATATGTTTGATACAGTGTTCAGAGTAAGTATTTATATATGCAAGATAGTTTATATTATAAAGAAGTTTGTTTTAATTCAATGAATTTTTAATTTCAAAGCGGAAGAAGAAGACCGGGCAAAGGTAATTTTAATATTACACTTATTTCATAGATTTATATAGTTTTCGTTGAATGCTTAATATCGTCTATAAATTCTATTGCATTAACAACTTTATTTACAACTAGATAGTCCCCCATAAAGCATGACGTGGTACTGTTGTAGTTAATAGTCCGGCCTTTTGTCCCAGTCAGGCATTTTTCCCATCCCTTTCCCTAGTTAATACATTATGTTCTCATCGAACTCTTTTCACTTTTCATATTGACCCGACAGGGACAACATAATGGATCGTGACGGCATTTATGCTTCCACCATTTTTGGTACAGTTTTCGATACGAAACTGCTGAAAAATTCTATAGCGATGAAAAAGATTTTCTTACTATTTTTTCTGTGTAATAGAGATCTTGATATCCTTTAGGTTTTTTAAATGAGATAAGGCAAATTCTAGATTAAAAAAACCCAGCAGTGAGTTACATAACTTTCCCGGCAGTTAAACGTTTATAGTATACGAGCTGTTAACCGCGACTTCGTCCGCGGAGGTTTTGCAAGCAAACCCCATTTACACTCAATATTTCTGTAACCATAGTAATTGTTATATAACACCTACCGGTGAAGAGAATTGCCGCGAATAACGATCGTTCAATTTGATCAATTTTCTGGAACTTTTACAATGGTTCTATAATCAAACCAATATGCAATAACAAATTCGAATTTTAAACGGTTCGAACATTTTTCAGATCGAAATAGATAAAAATATTTATAACAATGTCTGAAATGTTATCAATTTAATACACCTAAGTACTCAATGAAGACTAAATGTAGTTGAAAACAAAAAATCGCATCTAAAATAGTATAATAGAAGCCGTTCTTCCGGTAAAGCCTTAATGCTATCCCTCTCCCCAGCGGGGGAATTTCAAAAAATCCCTTCTTAGTGTGCATTTTTATGACGTACCCTAACTGTGTACCAAATTTTCCCTCTTTAGGTTCAACTGTTTACTCTGGGCAATGATGAATCAGTGAGTCAGTCAGGACAAGCAATTTTATATATATGGATTTTTAATTATAATGAATTTAAGTGTGTATGACGCTATCTGTTATGAGATATTGTAAAAACTTTTTATTGAGGCGGAGCGTTTACGAAGCCTATGGCGCTTACAGAATTGTGAATCTCAAAAACTGTTCGATCGATTTTGATTAAACTTTGTTATTTTCCATTAATTGCGACGAGGAATCGAAAAATGCAATAAAAGATGGAGATCTATAACTTCGTTTTCGAGATATAAGGTCGTTACACGAGCACGCGCGTCAGCGATATTATGCGATGTTTCACAATCGCTAGCGCGATCGTCAAACATCGCACCATATCCATATAAGTTCTATAACTTCGCTATAGAGACGACTTCGTTCTCAAAATTTAATGGGCCGATTTTGATTAAACTTTGCCATTTTTCGTTATTTGAGATGAAAAATCCAATAATATAATGAAGGTCCACTTAAATTTAAAAATTATGGTTTGAGGGTTTTCGAGTGGAGTTAAATTCACAATACCCGTTCTCTATGATGCGACTGAGCATGCTAATGAAAGTTATAGCTAAGGGTCATAAATAATAACAGCATTGCGTAAGCCTAACGGAAAATGCCCGAAAAATGAACAAAAACCCAAAACAAGGCAATTGATGAGGATTGCTTTGTCCTTACATCACTCTCCGTGTCGGCGAGTGCAAGAATCGTTTCTCTGTATTGGCCAGTGCAAGGATCGTGCTTCCCGTAGCTGACAGGTAGGCTATAAGAATCGCCTCTTCTCTGCTTAACAAGTGCAGGAATTACTTCTTTCTTTCGTGCTTCGTTTCAATTCTATTGCGATAAGATAAAGTTGCGCGTTGTCTTAGTATTTTTAATTATTATAAAATGGCAAAACGCTTAATTTTGAAGGAATTTTTTATATATTTTTATTTAGTTTGATAAAAATTGTAAACAGTAGTAACGAATAACATCTTCATTAAGTCCGATTTTTGTCGAGATATAACTCGTGACACTCCTTTATATCATCATCCCTTTACGTTTAACCAGCAATATTAATTAGCATCAATGCCCCTTGCACACTTGCTGTCATGCCAAATTTTGTTTCCTAATCATTACCCCATTCTAAGAAATAGACGCCAACACGCACAAGATTTCCAAAAAACACGGAGGTAAAATTTGACACGATTTTAGCGCTTTCCTTAGTTATGTATGTAAACAACAGAAAAAGTAAAAATAGCATTTGAAAAATATCCTTCTTGGATAGGATAATTTCATGGATATTTTTCAATATGATATGGTTCGGCTAAAAACCTTGAGATTTTTAATGAGGTTTAACTCGACATCCGCGTAACTTAAAAACTTTCGGGTTGGAAAATCAGATAGAGCATCAAAAACTACTTGTAGTAAATACTTGACTAGAATTCCGGATAAATGTTTTTTGTTATAATCGTGTTCCTCGTCGAACAAAAATTTTCATCGAGACTGGCTAAGTAGAAATTGCGAAAAAGTGAGATCGAAAGTTTTTCAGGAAGCGAGATATATGGATGAAACATATACGAATTGTGGCTGCACTGCCCATTATAAATAAACCTAATCGAACGTTTTCTGTATCGTTTTTATGTTATTATTTATATTTGCCTTCTTTTCCATCGTCAAATTCAAAGTAAAAACAAACTTTCTTCCAGAACATTGTGCTGCAGCTATATCTACAGAGCTATATTATCTAACTGGAGCTGCTGCAACAGAGCGCCGCAGTTGCAGTTAGATTAGGAAATCCTCGTTAGTTCGAAATTCAGGGGACGAAATATTCGCGACTTCGAATTATCCGAGATTTACATATTTCTGTACAATATGTCAAATGCCATGTAAATGAAGTAATTTATTAAGCAAACAGAATACGGTTACTTATACAGAACGCTGTTTTCGTTAGTTAATAATAATATAAATAAACTGCAGATAAACAGGACATGTCCGGTGAGAACCTCACAGGTGGCAGATAGGTTTTATAAAAAGTAAAGCTGAATTATTCGAAATGTTGCCCAAATTATTTTTAAAGTGGCCCAAAATGTAGTAGGTCGCTCAAGGGTAGAATCTAGAGCCTAGAGTCCTACCAATATCTCAATCTGCTACTTGTGGCCCGATCTCGAAATCTAGTAACCCAGCCATATTTTATGAAATAAGAGAATAAAGGGGTTGTCCAGGTTTCACCCGAAAATCTGTTGCTATAAAAGCAGAGAGACACTAACGGAGTGGTTGAGAGTGAACGTCTAAAATTATCGTCCGAATTCGACTGTGGTTTTTCGGTCACCGTTCGATTAATCTTGGTTTATTTGATATCGTTCGACTCAGGACAACACTAGCTACCTGTGAGTACCATTAATTTTAAAACTTGGCTTCAATTTTTGGTGTTATTTCCGTCCGATCATTTTGGCCTTTGCCGTCCCCCACTGGGGCCCCCTTATGATCTTCACTGGATTTAAAGACTGTTTAGTGAAGCACAGCCTTTCTGTATCATAACCCGTAAGTTTCATTTATATCTGTCTAGTATTAACTGGAAATTACNAGCCATAAACAGACATTGGATATTATATAAAAATTGTAAATTGTTTCGCTTATGCTAAAAACGAATAATTATCTTTGGTATAGGCCTACTTCAGTTTTTGAATTATTGTAGAATTAATAGTTTATTCTATAATCTCATTGTATTTTTATCTAGTTTTGTATTGCTTATAGAGTATCTGTTTTATATATTGAGAATTTTGCAGATATAAAGTCTTATATTACATTATCTAGCTTTGGCAGTAAAAACTGGCGGACCTCCTCCTCTTCCACCTCGTACACCCAACCTCTCTCCTCCACCTCGTCCACCTAAAAACACTCGTCCACCCAAATTCGCTCACCCAGTAAGTCCGCATCCATAAAGAAAAGATTTTGTGCAGCACGAGATAAATATTGTTATTAATGATCCACGCCTTTATGATCCTAATGTAGAGATATTTCTGGAAGATGATGAAATAAAAGAAAAAAGTTCCGAAGTTCAGTTTACTACTGACGATAACAATGAATCAGGTGAGAAAATGTTTAATATTAGAATACAGTAAAGAAAGGCCAATTCACTCAAATGATTAAAATGTACAACTGAGTGAATTGGCATAATGTTTTATGACACAAATGAGTAAGATCGAATCAGAAATTTAATAGTTAATATGAGAATCTGGAGACGGAATAATTTTATTTTAGTAAGAAAAATTTTCAAACTTAAATTAATATTAAAAACGACGCATTTTTATAAATTTTGTGAGAAAAGCGAAATCAAACTCTCTTTCTCGAATGACGATTTTTCGTGGCGAGATGTTATCGGACATCTCTGTAAGGTCGCCGACTGAAAGGGGAATACAATTACTCCCGCGTCAGAATGAGCCTAAGGAAAACCGCGTATGTGGGCGGTGGCGAAGGAGGCAAATGAACAACAAGTGTTTTACAAGAAAAACCCGTTTATTTGTTCGAATTCATGCTTAAATCGATATTGAACAATTCCAAAATCTCGGTGTTCCTACGAAACGGTGAGAGTTCGGGTGATCAGTCGTAGCCCGGGCAGACGAGAAGAATAGCTGGACAACGCAGAAGTTCGGTGTTAAGCTGCGGCGTCCTAGGTGATCGGTGGTAGCACAACACAATAGGTAAAGCACAACAGTAGGCTTAATCCAGAGGAGACTCTTCTTCGACCTTGAAGTTCCGATTTTTATAGTTTTTCCCCCACTATTCGCATTTCGGATTGGTCCCTCGTCCCATTCCTCGCTTCCCGATTGGTCTCTCATTTGTCTCCAGGTGCAAGACGAAACCTTTTCGGGTCGCGGGTAAGGTCCGATTCGAGGTGTCCATCCTCGAATGGACACCTCGAATCGGAGGTGTCCATCCTGTCGACTCTGCTCGGTGACTGTTTATAAAACAATAACACCTGCACTCATAACTCAGGCCGTTGTTTACCATTTTTTGACGTCTAAGAATTTAACGATCATTTTCATCTTTCATCTATCAAAAATTCCCCTTTTTTGTTCGAAAAGTTTATTTCGGCCAACATTTTATAGACACGCGAGTTAATGATCTACCTATTTATGAGCGCTCGTGTTAGAGTTTGTCTTCCGCTAAGACCTTGATAGATAATTTGACACATACTCGAACTGTCCGAGTCTCGTTGTTTACATCTTGTGTCGCGCAAGAATTTCACGATTTACTCGAGTTCGAACCTCGTCTGGGAACCCACATCTCCGACCAAAATCTGTCCGTATGCGTCAGGACGAATATCCCACTAGATGATACAAATCTTAAACCCCGATTGGAGGAGAATTTAGAATAAAAAGGGGATGATTCGCAATATCGGCGCGGACATTTCCCGAGAAGAGGGATTCCACCATAACTGCTGGTGACCCCCAGACTCCCGTCCCGCCATTCTCTTGACCAACTCATCTCACTGCTGTGAAGATCCACGATCGTCTTTCCGACTTTCGTATAACCCGGATCTGGAGACATTGCATAGAGGTATTCTATTTAGATTTGTTGTAAACTCTCTCTCGGTATTTAGAGATGTATTGCACATAGGTGACGTTCGATTTAGCAATAGATTATTTCTTCATGTAGCTAATTCTTATATACATAAAACTCTTGTTATTTGTTAACCTGTCCTATTCATTTGATTTTTATACGGACACCCCACTTACCACGGCTCTCTCCGCTAAAACGCTAAGGCTCTCCTATTTGAAGCCATCCACCGACGAAGAGAGCAAATCCTATCGATCCGACGACTTGAGGGTTAGACCCTCACCCGTATTCTCACTGTTAATAATAATTTATAGAATTTTCAAATGGAATGTTTAAATTAATATCGATTTAAACATAGAGTTGAATTTAATACCGAAACTAATCTCTAAGAGCTGGACACACGAACATTTTTTTAACATTAGGTATACTTATACTTTTTAATATAAGATATATTTAACATAAGGTACTGTATATTTATACTTTTTAATATAAAGTATAACGATGTTATAGGCTACCTTATATTAAAAAGTAAGATGTAAATATGTAAGGTAGCGAAGATCAACTTGATACACTTAAAACAACAATAAGTGCGGGTGTAGGTGCAGTTGTGCGAGCGCCAACATTCTGCTTTGATTTCTCTTCTCCGCCGCTATTACTTTCGCTACTACTTTTAACTGGTTGCTTCCTCTTCTGTCTCCCTAAAAGAAAATAAATAACTACTACTACACTTAACAAAAAATTAAAAGAACTAATAATTTAAGCTTTTGAACGGACTCTCTACACTAGAAACTTCAACCTTAAAAAATCCTTTTATATTTTGTACAGATTCGTTTTATTATTTGCAACTAGCTACTTCTGCTAGTTGCAAAATCAACCATTTCAAAACCATCTAATTAGGCAAAACTGCTGCAAAAGTAGGTAATTATAATTTTCAATCGTTATTTGAAATTATTGGAGTGTAGTATACTTGTTATTATTTCCTTAATAGTATTGTATGAATTTTCTTAGAATTTCAATAATGCAGACAACATCAAAATCACTATTATATATAGGGGAGACCGGGGCAAGACCGGCATGTTAAGCTTTACTTAAATTTTGTGTAATAAATACTGCTGTAAACTGAAAAAAAAAAGCTTTGCTTATTGTCTATTAGAATGTTATCTTACTATAGAACTGGTTAAAATCAGTTTGGAAATAAAAATAATTAAAATAATTACAACTTTACAAAAAGAGAGAAATGAACTTGCCCCTGGTATAGGGTAATAATATTAAATAGGTGTTGGACTTGTATTTCTTTGTTTTAATAGTGAATTCCAACTTATACATTGTTAATAACATAAACTTATATACCTGCCTATCTTGCCCCGTTACTGTTGCCGAACTTGCCCTGGTATAGGGGCAACAGTAATGGGGCAAGATATGCAGGTATATAAATTTATGTTATTAACAATGTATAAGTTGGAATTCTCTATTAAAACAAAGAAATACAAATCCAACACCTATTTAATATTATTACAACGAAATGCAAGTTCAAAGACATATATAAATAAATAAAAATGCAAACACAAATTAGTTACAAAAAAAATCAAACAGATAATAAATGAAAACATCCTAAACCAATATAAAAGCAATATAAAAGCATATTATTTATTCTCTTATTCTCTATACATATCACAAATAAATTGAACATACTCATTTTCTACATCCGTACAGTCCATATGAGCTCAGAGTTTACATTTACAGCATAACCTCCTGAATAATGCCATATTTTTCATTGCAATATATACAATAAGTATTTTTACCATCATTTTCCGGTTCTATAGGACTTTCCTGCCTCTTTCTTTTAGTTTACTTCGAATCCGCATTCCCTAAACCGATTCTCTTTATGTTGCCGATCTTGCCCCACTAGTCATGATTTCGAAACATTAAGTACAACTCTGAGAACAGGGTACCAAGCCATGATCTGGCCACGTGAATAAGTTAAAGTTTTATCCTTCTAACAGGAAAAGTAACTTTCGTTATCATGGAATTATAACAAAACATGCTAATTCTATATAAATGGAAGCAAAATATTATATGGAATTGAACGAAAATGAAAATTTGCTTATTAATTCAACTACGCTTGTTGGAGAACAATAAAAACACTACACTCAACAAGCCACCAATAAAACTCAACTGCCTAACCTATAACCAAAGTCTCCTTTTAATTTGTTTTTTAAAAAAAGCGCTTGACAAACTTGCCCCGCATGCCGAAGTTGCCCCG